ATGTCTAGACATTATCCAACATGATGTCTGGATATCAACCTTTTGTCAAGGATGGCTTTCCCTATGTTTGATATATGTAGGATGATGTTTGTACATTATTTAACATGATGTCTAGACATCGTGCTGATCAAATTACCAAATATAGTATATTTTATAAGTACACAAAATAAAATTTACTATATTTGATAACATGATGTCTAAGACACATTATCCAACATGATGTCTGGATATCAACCTTTTGTCAAGGATGGCTTTCCATATGGTAAGCTATTTTTGGCTATTGAACAAAACATGATGAAAATTATTTGTCACATGGTGAAAATTATTCATCTTATGGTAAAAAGTCATCATAAATCATGATGAAAAATCATCACTAAACATGGTGAAAAGTCATCACATAAACATGGTGAAAAGTCATCATTAATCATGATGAAAAGTCATCATGCAATATGATGAAAAGTCATTATGCAACATGGTGAAAAATCATCATGCATCATGATGATTTTTCATCAACCTTTCTGTGCTTATATCAATGTACAACAAATATCCCAATTGAGCGAAAAAGTGAATATATTTGGAAATGATCTAATCATTTCAATCTCTCTTTTTACGCCCATAATAACTTTGTGCAACCAACGGATATATATATATATATATATATATATATATATATGAATTGTCGCTCCGAGTTATATAATAAATTTACCATATTTTGACGTAACTTCCAATACCTTTCCCCTTTTCCCCTCACTCTCAATATGGCATGTTCAAAGTTATTTTCAGGAGATTTACCAGAGTTAATAAACGAAATTATTCAATATTTTCATTATGATTATAAAACACTACATTCATGTATATTTGTTAATAGATTATGGTGTCGTTTAGCAATCCCATTATTATGGGAAGATCCATTTTCAATTAAATTTCCTAAAAATTATTACTTTATTGAAATTTATTTGAATAATTTGAATGATGATGATAAAGTAAAATTAAATGAATATATAATTCATAATGAATTGTTTCCTTTAAACACATTATTTAATTATCCTAGATTTATTAAACATTTAGATGCATATAAAGTTAGTAATTCTATCGAAAAATGGGTTAAAACTATTATGAATTCAACAATTAAAGAGCAACATTCAAACTATTCTATAACAAATGCAAATTTATCACTTTCACAAATTATAAAATTAATTTTTTGGTCATTAATTCTATTATTCATTAAAAATGAAGCCAATTTGCATAGTTTTAAAGTTACAACATGTATTGGATATAGTAATGAGATTATTGAATTAATCTTACAAAATCGTAATTTCATTTATAATATTAAAAATTTAGCACTTAAACTTGATAAAGCAAATGATAACATAATAAAATTTTTAGAATTTCTCTGTTCTAATTGTAATTCAATTTCATCCCTTTATTTTCCACTTCCTTCATATAATAATTATCCAATAATTGAAAAATATTTATCACAAATAATTAAATCTCAAGAAAATCTTAAAAAGATTTCATTTGGTTATGGTTATGGATGCTCCTTATATCATCCTTTATTATCTTTAAATAATCTTAATTGTTCAAATACATTAAATACAATTATATTTTATTATATTAATTTTAAAAATATAAATGTATTAAGTGAAGTATTTAATCAATTAAATGTTTTAGAATCAATTCATATTGTTTATTGTTATCATCTAGATTCTAAATTTATTCAACAAATTAATAATATTATTAAACCATTTAAATTGAAATCTTTATTTTTGGATGGAGTGAATTATGAATTATTAGAACCATTAATGCAAAAGTCTGGTAATTATTTAGAAAGTTTTGGATTTTATCACGATGGATCACAAAAATTATTACAATTAATTATTAAGTATTGTAACAAAATTAAATTTTTATTTCCTATTTGGACGAATAATCAGTTTATTTATTTATTATTCAATATAATTGAAAATATTAAACAAAATCTTAATTATCTTTCAATTGATCATCGCGGTCATAATACTAGTTCAACTATATTACAAAATTTAGGACAAATTCTTCCTTTTAAATTAGAATATTTGAATTTATGTCTTAATTTGATTAATACAAATGATTTGAGATTCTTTTTAAAAAATTCTCAAAATATTTTTATTAAAAAATTATTAATTAAAAATACAATGAATGAAAATTGTCAAAATAATATTTTTCCATATATAAAAGAATATATTATGAAAAAGAAACGAATTAAGTATTTAGCTATTAGAGAAATTCTTTGTAGTAAAAGTGAAGACTTATTTTTTTCGAAAGATAAAGTAAAGGAATTTGAATTATATGGTATTCAAGTTTTAAATTATGATGATTTTGTTATTGATATTTATAGTTTTATAATAGAAACTTATTAGCTATATAGTAATATAGTTATGCAATTTACAGTATTATGACATATACGTATACTGTATAATCATGGGATGAAGTGCGCATATTCTAGTTATATTGTATAATTAAGTATAAAAGAATTATTTTTGTAGAAAAACATTAATAAATAAAAATAAAGTTAAATTGAGAAAAGTTTCTCCGTTCAAATATTAATAATGCGTTTTATTCAATTTACTAATTAAATGTAATAAAGCTGATGAAAGATTAAAAAAATTCAAAAATATTAAATATGAATATCAAATATGGATTGATCATTTAATCAATAGAAATATAAATATGAAAGACTTAAACGTAAAGCATTATACATTTTTTTTTTTGATCATTATTTTACGTAATTTAAAATTATTTATCTTAATTTTATTTTAGCACAACGGATTAATGATAACTGGTTAATTAACCAATTAAGACAATTAACCGGTTAAGGAATCTTAAAATCAAGGTTAACCGGTTAAAACTAATTTGACCATAATTCTGGTCAAATTTATATAATGCGTCCCAGTGACATGAATCGTGATTACGTGTTCCAGAACTTCAAGTTTATAATACTATTTATTAAAAACAGCATTAATACCGACAACTAAATATGTACGCAAAATCAAAAATCGACAAAAAGATTTAAGCTCTAGGGAAGTATTGTACTAATTGTATTAGTGATTAATTTATGATATTTTTATAATATTAAAAAATTGCAAAATGTATATGAAAGTAATAGAGCAAAATGGATTGATGGATTGAAATATGGCATTTAAATAATAATTGAAATAAAATAGACCATTGAGTTTTTGAATAATTCAAATTGATGATACAAGTTTATGATTTATTTGAGCTTTTGATAACTTAACATATTCATATAACTAAAAAAGAAACCTAAAATTTTATCTATTTCATCTACTGTATTTAAAATTTTGTTGGAGTTAGTTTTTTATATATAGAATTAAAATCTAAGTTTATTAAAAATGTGTTATTCGACAAAATTTTTACTATTATAAGTGGGAATATTTAAATGAGTAAACATTTAAGCAAATTTTGCAAAGTTTATGTAATACTGTACCGTAATTATTGCTAAATTTTGAAATGCTTTTTAGATTTGTCCATCAAAAAGAAAAATTATTTGAAAATATTAAATGAAAATTTATTATAAATATAGTTTATTTTTTAACGAAAATTCATCAATTTTTATAGTAAGAATATAACTACTTTTCCACAAAAAGACGTTAATTGCTTACGAAATAAAAAAAAATTAGTTTGTATGTATTGTATGGTTCATGTTTCAGGTTGTGTATTCTAGATAATTTTTTCCGGAAGTTAATATAATAAATTAAACTTTCTATTTTTAACCCATTTACTATTAGCTCTACGAATCTCTTCGGGGCCAGAATTACATAATGCTGCCTGGCATTATTCAGGATCTACACGTAGTTTTGTTGATTCTACGCAAACTATTGTTTCCTTTTTTGTCCTCATTGAATATCCAAATTAAATCATGTATTAAACACCGACTTTTACAAACTTTTTAACAGAATTTATATTATAAAATGTGCTTTATTAATGAAAATCAATTAGTATACGAATTTAATAAATTAAATATTTCTGATAAAGATTCTAATTCCGTGAAAATTAATCATAAAAATTGTTATGACCCAGATAATAAAAAATTTTGGTGTAAAGAATGTGTTCCTCGCTGCATAGTTGAAGGATGGACCAGTGGAAATGATGATATTGATAAATTTATCAAGGATACGATTTATAATGCAAATGATCATTATATTTATCCATTTTTTCTTGAATGGATTCCATTTGATAGATTTAAAGATATGAAACAAATAGGTGAAGGTGGATTCGCAAAAGTTTATTCTGCAACTTGGATTGATGGTATAACAAACTATATTAAACAAGATGATGGAAATTGGATAAAAAGAGAACCTGAATCCATACAAGTTGCTTTGAAAAGGTTGAATGGATCACAAAATATATCAGCTGATTTTTTAAATGAGGTATTTTTTTCACATGCACTTATTTTATAATCTTATAAACTATTGAAAATATATTTAAATTTATTTTAATTTGAATAATAGCTTAAAACACATTGGAAATTAAATTTCTTACAAGGTAGTTCTTTAACATTTTATGGAATAACTAAAGATCCAGAAACTGAAGAAATTATGATGATTATGCAATATGCAGAAGATGGAAATTTGAGAAATGTTCTTTCAAGTAATTTTAACAACATTTTTTGGGATAAGAAAATTGGTTATTTATTGGATTCAACACAAGACCTTGAAAGTTTACATAAACTAGGATATTTTCATAAAGATTTTCATAGTGGAAATATATTAAATATTGGTGTAACTTCTTATATATCAGATTTTGGATTATCTAAACCATCAAATGAACAAAAATTAGATAAAATATATGGTGTTTTGCCATATATTGCCCCAGAAGTTTTAAATGGAGAACCATATACATTACCTTCAGATATTTATAGTTTTGGTGTAGTTATGGCTGAGTTATCATCTGGAAAACCACCTTTTCATAAAAGAAAACATGATAATAGTTTAGCATTAGAAATATATAATGGTCTCAGACCAGAATTTGGAAAGGGAACTCCTAAAATTTATAAGAAATTGGCACATAGATGTATGGATGCTAATCCAAATCAAAGACCAACAGCCAGTAAACTATATGAAATATTAAAATGTTGGTATTATTATGATGATAATGAGAAATATGGATATAAAGGAGAGGAGGTTAGAATTGCATTTGAAAAAGCTAATAAGGAAATACCAAATATTTCAACCTTACATGAAAAAGATCCGGATGCTATTTATACTAGTAGAGCATTTACATTTAAAAATTTGTTAAAACCAATTAATTCAACTTTTATTGCTACTATATATCTTAATGAAGAAGATAATGAAGGTATTGCATTTTATATTACATTTTTAAATTTTATAAAATAATTAAGATAATAATAACTAAATCTTATTTATTATAATAGGTTGTCAGGATTCTCAATTAGCTGGCTTAGAGATTTCTAGCTCATTAAATTAAAGGTGAATATAACTTACTATCTTTATCATGGTGACCGATTAAAAAAAAAAAAAAAAAAAAAAAAATTTATACTTGAAAAAATAAAAAATATGCTCATAAACAATGCGATTTTTAAGATTCCAATGGTTTTGGTATAGGTGACAATTTCACGCTATTTACACATTAAATATAATTAGGAACTATTTATTTTTGTTTTCATAAAATCTTTAACATGCAGTGAAGTTGAGAGAAGTGTAAGTGTTTAGAACTTTTAAGCAAAACTTGGTATGATTTTGTTTTTTTTTTGCCAATAGTAAAGAAATTTATAATTGATTTTAAAGTTAGGTGAGAGTGGGGAAACTTTTTGTGAATTTTTAACTCCTTATCATTAAGATTTTTATTTTAGTATCATTAGAATCATCTTGGTTTAAAGCTTTTTTTTTTTGATTTAATATTTATTTTTCAAAAAAAAATATTATTTTTGTAACTTATGGTTAATATTGGGCAAAATATAGATAATTTTGCTATTAAATACTATCATCAGATTATACTTAAAATAGAGCTTGCAGTTAAGCATAACTTTGCTTAATTTAAACAAGTGGATTGTTTACTGTGATTTGTAACATAGTAATTATTGCACATTTGATTTTTTTTTATTTGATTATACTAAGCAATAAATTAATATGTATATTCATTTTAGCATGTACTACATTAAAATAGAATAAAGTTAGAAAACTTTAGTTTATCAAGAAGAAAAAATAACTGATGCATTATATTTAAAATAAAAGTCAACAAATATAGATTAGCTATTGAAATAAGTATAAAAATTTTACATTATCATTGGAAATGGTTTTATATTATTATTTTGATAATTTATAACTCATAATTGGAAAAGTTATAAAAAAAGATTTATTAAAATTACAAACTAAGAAACTTGTAAAATATTTACTATTCTAATCTTAGTGTTTTAAATAATTCTAAGTATAATAAAAAAAAAAGTGAATATAAATATATAAGCTAAAAAAAAAAGAATTATTTAAATTACAAACTAAGAAACTTGTAAAATATTTTACTACTCTAGCCTTAGTGTTTAAATAAATTTAAAAAGAATAAAATGAAAAACAATTTCTTTTGAATGTGTAATATCAAATATCACTTAAAAATTAAAACTATAAATTTTTTAAAAACAAACAATGATTAGTTAATTTTCATCTGTTTTAATATCTAAATAATTAAATATTAAATAAAATTAATTTCATATAAATAATTTGAAAGATTAATTTTTTTTATATACTATATTACATACCTAATGACTTCAAATTAACCATACATCCACTCAAATCTTCACTTGCTATCATTTCATTCAATTTTTTACTAGTAAAATCAAGTAAACGACTTGTATAACATGCTTGTGGATGTGATTCAGTAACAAGATTGTTGTTATGCTGCCCAATTGGTGCATTTATAAATTCCATAATGTTGCTTTTTAATTCTTCACTGTCTTCATAAGAATTGAAAATCCAATTTTTAATAATTTTTAACACTTCTTTAGAAGATGGTCTTTTTGATGAATCTTCATTCCAACATTTTTTCATTAAATCTACATAACATTGTGGAGTATTTTCAAGAATTTCAGGACGTACACCCTTACAAATACTCAAACTAAGTTGAATATCATGTGCTCTATTATTAAATGGTGGTATCCCGGATGTAAGTTCCCACATAATCATAGAAAAACTATATATATCACTAGCTGGAGTATAAGATTTGCCTCTTAAAACTTCAGGAGCCATAAATGGAATTACACCATAAATATCATACTTTTTCAAAAATGATTTTACAGGTTGGCATAATCCTAAATCACTAATATAAAATTTATCCTTATTGCCATCATCATTATGATTTAAAATATTACCATCATGAAAATCACAATGAATAAGATTTTTTTCATGTATATCACTAAGTCCAGAAATAATTTCGTACAACATATATAATTTTTGATTCCAATTATTTTTTACTATTCTTGTTAAATTTTCTCTTAAATTACCTTTATTTGCATAATCCATTACTACCATATATTTTGAAATATTTGGATCTTCTGTAAATCCATAAAAAAATATAATATCATCCGAACTTGAAACGCTTGTATGATATTTCCACTAAAAAAAATAATAATAATTTATTAATTTTAGTTTAAATTAAAAATAAAAAATAATATACTATCATACTTCTTTTAAAAATTCATTTAAATTTTCATTCAAATTCTTGTGACATTTAAGAATTACTTCTTCATCTTTATTATTATTTAACCAAGTAGCTTTATATATAGTACCAAATCCTCCTTCATTAAGATATTCAACATTCTTAAATTTGTTATAAGGAATCCATCTTAATTTTTTTTCAAGAATAAAATCATCTATAATTGTATTTCCACTTTTCCCATATCTATAAATTTAAATAATTAAAATTATATTATAAATATTATATATAGATTGTATTATAATTTGCACAAAACAAATTATTACTTACTCTAAAATTTAAATAGGCATTTAACGTAATATAATATAAGTCTTAATTTTTGGATAAATACATATAACAACCTATAATTTACAACTTACCAACTAAAGTAACAAATATTTTTCAAATGAAAGAATTCAGTTATCAAATAAATATTATATAAAATATATAATGATAGAGATACTTACAAGCTAGATCATAAATAATTTTAAATAAAAAAATTAGTTAGTTTAAATTATATGAGCGTAAATATTATAACAATAAGTAATAATAGAATTAAAATAATTAACTTACGATCTAAAAGAATTTAGTTAGTTTAAATTATATGTAAATATTATATAAGCAAGTAATAATAGAATTAAATAAATAACTTACTCACTATATTTTTAAATAATTTTTTAAATAAAGATTTAGTTAGTTTAAATTATATGTAAATATTATAACAATAAGTAATAATTGGATTAAATAAATAACTTACAATCTATTAAATAAATAAAGAAATTTAGTCAGTTTAAATTATATGTAAATATTATAACAATAAGTAATAATAGAATTAAATAAATAACTTACAATCTATTTAATAAATAAAGAAATTAGTTAGTTTAAATTATATGCAATAATAGAATTAAATAAATAACTTATAACTTACGAACTATTAAATAAAGAAATTAGTTAGTTCAATTATATGTAAATATTATAACAATAAGTAATAATGGAATCATTAAATAAATAACTTATAACTTACGAACTATTAAATAAAGGAATTAGTTAGTTTAAATTATATGTAAATATTATAACAATAAGTAATAATTAAATTAAATAAATAACTTACACCCTATATTATTTAATAATTTTTTAAATAAAGAAATTGGTTAGTTTAAATTATATGTAAATATTATAACAATAAGTAATAAT